CCCTGAAGGGATGAGGGCTCCAGGGAAAGCTAGAGAGGAATCATGCCCAGGTAACAGATTCCTAAGAGCTGACACTAAGAGATGAGGCCTGTGGATAGGGGCTGAGTCTGTAGAGAGAAGGGGAAGTTGCTGAAAGCGTGGATCTGGTAGAGGCAACAAATAGCCTGGATTTGCTGTTAGGTTCTGAGCTGTGAAAGCCCTGAGCAGCCTGGTTGGGTGAGTGAAAGGGCTTAAAGAAATGTGGAAGGCCTGACCCATCCTGTCTGCCTCACTCTGTAGATGGAGAGTTTGTATATGGTGGCATATTCCTGGCAGCAGTTCATATGACTTTATTATATCCTAATTGTCAGCATTTATTTTGACCACATCTTTAGCATTTGTACAGATATCTCATGGGAGGAAGAGGACTCAAGTAAAATGATTTATAGGTAACTTAAATTAATGAAAACATTTAATAGGGGAGTTAAATAATTTTCCTTTGAATCATATCTATCACCATTGTTATTGTGACCCTGAATATTATTTTCACAGGAAGTCGGAATAAAATGGGAAAAACTCTGGGGTAAACAGAGTTGGCTGCAAATCCTGCATGCTGCTTTTGTGTCTATTTTCTGGACTTTCTGAGCCTCAACTGCAAAATGAGTATGATGCAACACACTTTATGGTGTTAATATGAAAATTTAATAAGATAGGGTGTATAAGGTGCTTAATGCACTATTTAGCATAGAACAAATACTCAATATTTGTAACCTTTCATTACTTTCATGACTGACTCTCCTTATGCTCTTTCTACGAACAGTATCTTGTATCATGCCATTAAATATTCTTCATTTGTAATGTTTGAAGAAAATTTGGGCTTTTCATGGGGAGAATGATTTTAATAGTTTTTTAATTATTTTTCTCCAGAATTGATGACAGGAAAGGCCAAATTGGGAGTTCTGGTTTTCTTTCCTATAGATTTCTGTGTAAAAAAGAAATCTATGTTACATGATTTATATCTATATAGTTATCTTCTGATATTTGGATAGCAATTTTTTTCTTTTTCCTCTTTTTTTTTAGGTGTTAAGGAGACTACTAGGGGAAAAGGGATAGTGAAAGTTTAAAAATCAAGCAGAACTAAAAAATTTTAAATAAATAAAAACCAAGCAGAACTTTTAGGTAAAGCCTTCTGATTTGAGATGGTTGACAATCAAATTGGCCAAAACTAAAGTTTCATTATATTAGGTGATGCTGGTGGGAATTTAAATTTTTATATGCACCGATTGACATTTCCAAGTTGCCAGCTTCTCCAGCACCCATTCTTTTGGGGGACAAATTGACGGGATCAAAATTTAAAGTGCTCATACTCAGCAGTTTTATTCCTTGGTATTTAAATGTGGTACCTTGCATGTTTACAAGGATATTTGCTGGAACATTGCTTGTAATAGTGAAATATTGAAAGCATCCTGAATACCATCAATAAAGGAATAGATTAGAAAAGTAAGTTATCTCTATACTATAAAAATACTATGTGGGAATTAAAAAGGGTAAGGTAAATCTATATGTGATGAACTCTAAGACATGGTATTGAAAGAAAAAGAAGCAAAGTATATGTAATATGTCATTTATATATTGTAAAAACTATGTTTAAGTACAGACATATAAATGTACCAGGGAAGGCCCAAAGAAGATACTTATTAATCTTACAAGTGTCTACCTCTTAGCAAGGGGCTGGTACAGGGTAGGGGTCCAAGGAAATGTAAGCTTTATCTTTGTTATTTGTACTTTTTTATTAAATTTTTTAAAATTTTCGTAAAATACACATAACATAAAATTTACCATCTTAACCATTTTTAAGTGTCCAGTTCACTATTGTTAAGTACATTCACATTGTTTTGCAACCAATCTCCAGAGCACTCTCTTCATCTTGCATAACCGAACCTCTATGCCCACTGAACAATAACTCCTGAGTCCCCCTTCCCCAAGCCCCTTGCATATACTAATCTACTTTCTGTCTCTATGAAGGACTAGTATAGGTACCCTATATTAGTGAAATTATACAGTATTTGCCTTTTTCTGACTGGTGTATTTCACTTAGCATAATGTTCTCAAAATTCAACCATTTTGTAGCATGTGTCAGAATTCCCTCCCTTTTAAAACCTGCATAATATTCCATTGTATGTATATACTACATTTCATTTATCCATTCAGCTGTTGATGAGACTTAGGTTGCTTCCATCTTTTGGCTATTGTGAATAATGCTATGAAAATGGATATACAAATATTTATTTGAGACCCTGCTTTCAGTTATTTCTGGTTTATACCCCAAAACAGAATTACTGGATAATATGGAAATTCTATTTTTAATTTTTTAAGGAACTGCTATATTTTTTTTCCATAATAGCTATATCATTTTACATGCCCACCAACAGTGGCACAAGATGTCCAATTTTTACATCCTCACCAACACTTGTTATTTTTTGTTTTTTTTGATAGCACCTATCCTAATGGGTGTAAGGTGGCATCTCAATGTAATTTTGATTCGCATTTCCCTAATGGTTTGTGATACTGATTATCTTTTCATGTGATTGTTGCCACTTGTATGTCTTTTTTGGAGAAATGTCTTTTCAAGTTATTTACTATTTTTTAAATCAGGTTGTTTGCTTTTTTTGTTGTTGAGTTTTAGGAGTTCTTTACATATTCTGGATATTAATCCCATATCAGATATGATTTGAAATTTTTTCTCCCATTCCATAGATAGCCTATTTTACTTGTTGTATCCTTTGTTACACAAAAGTTTTAAATTTTAATGTAGTCCAGTTTATCTATTTTTGCTTTTGTTTCCTGTGATTTTTGTATCATATCCAAGAAATTCTTACCAAATCCAGTGTTATGAAGATTTTCCCCTATATTTTCTTCTTTTTAATGTTTATTTATTTTGAGAGAGGGAGAGAGAGAGCGAGAGCACACACAAGCATGGGAGGGGCAGAGAGAGGGGGGCAAGAGAGAGAGAATCCCAAGCAGGCTCCACACTGTCAGTACAGAGCCTGATGTTGGGGCTTGATCCCACTAACGGTGAGATCATGACCTGAGCCAAAATTGAGTCAGGTGCTCAACTAACTAAGCCACCCAGCCCTGTGTTTTCTTCTAAGAGTTTTATACTTTATCTATTCTGTTTAGGTCATTTGATCCATTTTCAGTTCATTTTTGTGTATGGTATAATATAAATGTCCAGTTTCATTCTTTTGCATACAGATATCCAATTGTCCCAAGATCATTTATTGAAAAGACTGTTCTTTCCTCTGCTGAATGGTCTCAACACCCTTGTTGAAAATCATTTGATTATATGTGAGGCATTTTATTTCTGAACTCTGTTCTGTTCCATTGGTGTATATATCTGTCTTTATGCCAGTACCACACTGTTTTGATTACCTTTGTTGTAAATTTTGAAATCAGGAATTGCTAGTCTTACAGCTTTGTTCTTCTGTTTCAGGTTTGTTTTGGCTCTTTGGAGTCCCTTGTAATTCCATATGAATTTTAGGGCGGAGTTTTCCATTTCTGCAAAAAAAAAAATCATTGGGATTTTCATAGAGATTGATTACATTTATTTTTTTTAAATGTTTATTTATTTTTGAGATAGAGAGCACATGTGAGCTGGGGGAGGAACAGAGGGAGAGGGAAAGAGAGAATCCCAAGCAGGCTCTGTGCTGTCAGCGCAGAGCCCCGTGCTGGGCTAGAAATCAGAACCGTGAGATCATGACCTGAGCCAAAATCAAGAGTTGGGCCCTTAACTGACTGAGCCACACAGGCGCCTCAGTAGGGATTACATTTACATCTGTAGATTGCTTTGGTAGTGTTGGCATCTTAACAATATTACATCTTCCAATCCATGAGCTGTTTGCATTTTTAAATAATCCAGATATATTGGTGTACTATTTGTGTGATCAAGCATAAATAAACTTTTTAAAGGAGCTGTTGGCAGAGGGAACTGGTAAATTTCTTTTTTTCTCTTTCAGTTTTATTGAGATATAATTGACATTCATCACTGTGTAAGTTTAACGTGTATATCATAGGGGCACCTGAGTGGCTCAGTCAGTTAAGCATCTGACTTCAGCTCAGACCATGATCTCACGATTTGTGGGTTCGAGCCCCGCATTGGGCTCTGTGCCAACAGCTCAGAGCCTGGACCCTGCTTTGGATTCTGTGTCTCCTTCTCTCTCTCCCCCTCCCCAGTCCGTACTCTGTCTCTCAAAAATAAATAAATGTTAAAAAAATTTAAAAAAAAGTATATCATAATGGCCTAAAGTGGTCAAAATGCACAAACCTCCAATTATAAGATAAATAAATACGGGGGTATTACATACAACATGACTGTAGTTAACACTACTGTATGGTATATTTGGAAGTTGCTAAGCAAGTAGACCCAAAAAGTTCTCATCACAAGGGACTAGTAAATTTCTAATGTCAGTTCATGTGTCTTTGCTTGATCTCATGTTCCAATTTTTATAAATTGGCATTAGTTCTGGAGGCAAAAGCATAAATTAGACATTAGGAGAGAGATGATTATTTGACTGTAGGTGTTCATGACAAGAAAAATGTTTGTGGCTGAATAAATTAAACTGAAATTGAATTAAATAGTTTATTGTTTTTTTAATGTTTATTAATTTTTGAAAAAGAGAGAGACAGAGTATGAGTGAGGGAGGGGCAGAGAGAGAGGGAGACAATCTGAAGCCTGAAGCAGGCTTCAGACTCCAAGCTGTCAGCACAGAGCCTGACCCAGGGCTCAAATCCATGAACCATGAGATCATGACCTGAGCTGAAGTCGGACCCTTAACCAACTGAGCCACCCAGGTGCCCCTAAATAATTTATTGTTAACAAATTGGCTTATTTAGACATGTAATTATATTACCTAAGCTCAGATACAGTTTTATCTTGCATGTTTTGCTCACTGTCATTAGTCCCATTGATCTAAAACCAGTTATTCTATTCATGCCGTTTAAAATTGTGTTTCATTGAACAGAGAATTTGTTGGGTTTGATTTAATGAAGATTATCTGTGAGCGTTTTAAGTCATCAGAAGATATTGGAAAAGCTCTACTGCTCCACGCTGACATGCTTTTACAAAGAAAGGAAGAACTGCTTGCCAAGGAGAAGATTGAAGAAATCATTATAGGTCAGTAAGATTTCTGCAGGTTTTAGAAAGGTGTTAACATACATATAATTCTTAGAATAGATGTCAGAACAGTGGCAAAATTCTTAGGTCAGAGGATCCATTTTTCTAACTTCCTTTTTTTCTCCCTAATCGCCATGAACTGTAACACCTCACAGATCCAGATTCCACATGTTCAGCAAGCTAGAATGAGAAACTAAGCAGAAATAGCAAAACAGCAAAAACATACAAACCTCTGAGCTTAAATCCTCCTATGTAGTGAAAAATTGTGAGATTAGAGACCTAATATCATGATTTTAGTGTGATCTCAAGTAAGCTGTGTGCCTTCTGGCAAGTTAATAACATCTCTGGATCTTGTTTTTTTCTAACTATAAAATTAGAGGTTGTGAAATACATTCCTATTTTTTTTTAAGTTTTTATTTATTTATTTTGAGAGAGAGAAAGCACAAGTCGGGGAGCAGACGGGGTGGGGGAGGGAGAATCCCAAGAAGGCTCCACACTCCATGCAGAGGCAGATGCAGGGCTCGATCTCACCAATTGTGAGATCATGACCTGAGCCAAAATTGAGTTGGGTGCTTAACCGACTGAGCCACCCAGGAGCCCCATTTTTTTTTTTTTTGCATTCCTGTTTTTAAATTCTTTTTTAACCCCATGATCCTTTCTTAATGCAATCTTATTTGAATCCTGTCCCAAATAAAAGATTAGAGTTTCTGTTAAAGCAGAGATGTAGAACCAGATTTCATCATTTCCCTGACCCTCTATCTCTCTGCAGATCTCTATACCTTGAAGAACACAGATAAGTATGATCCCTTTCTTAGAAAATTCTCACCCCAATACATCCTCCCAACTCTACACATATACAGAGATATAACAGGAGTGATAGTAAATCTTGATACTGGGTTGTATTCTGACTAATGGTGTTGTAGGTGACTTACTGCTTTCTTTATATTTTACCAGATTTCTTGAATTTTTACAAGTTTGTATCATGTTTTTATAAAAACATAATCATTGATACTTTTTAAAAGGAAATATTTTGAGTAGATAATCTCTAAGAACCTTTTGAACTCTAGATTCTGTGAACCATATTTTACTGATAATACGCTCCTTGCAGACCCTCACTAAGTATCCAGTTATTTTTAGACCCAATTTTGATAAGTTTGATTACCTGGTTTTCCAATCCTTAGGATTTTTTTAATGTGTATTTATTTCTGAGACAGAGAGAGACAGAGCATGAGTCGGGGAGGGGCAAAGAGAGAGGGAGACACAGAATCAGAAGCAGGCTCCAGGCCCTGAACTGTCAGTACAGAGCCCAACACGGGGCTTGAACTCACAAACCGTGAGATCATGACCTGAGCCAAAGTCGGTCGCTCAACCTACTGAGCCACCCAGGTGTCCCAACCAATCCTTAGGATTTTAATGGTAGCATATTACAGAGAAAGGGTCTACAGGGAAATACACAGATAATGTGACTACAAGGAAGGAGAAAACTCTACAAATTTTATAAATCAGTTTCAAATACTTTTAATTTAAAATAATTTTTAAAAAACAAAAATCTGTACTATATAATAATTCCCAAAGGTATCACTATGATATGTTAATAGTACAGTAAAATAGAATAGTTGTTACTGTTGACCTTGAATGAGCAAATGTTAAATTGTGCTTCAGAAAACTAGAAAGTATATTAAAAAAAAACATAATTTATAAAACATAATTTTTAGAAAAATTAAGAACTTTAGTGAAATAATTTAGACTTTTAAAATAAAAAATCTTACGTTTAGTGAAAGTTAACTGTCACATTACTAGAAAATGTGTTCATCCAAAATGACTAATTTTCCTAAGATTATAATTAGCCAGTTTTGTTGTGATACCTAATTATAAACTTACATTCTCAAAGTATATTTTAAGTAATATTTTAAGTGTAGTATATTCAATAGCTTTTCAGTCTCATGTGAGTTATTTTATCTAAGCCATGGAACAAATTATGTCTGCTGCCTGGGCTGGGGCATCAGAGATTCTTAGTGTTCTTATTAAGAGTTTTGTGGAAATTGATAGTGCCAAAAGGGTAGAAGAGAAGGGACTATAGAATTCTATTACAGTTTAAACTTTACCTTAATCTGTGCTAATGTATTTGAGCCCTGTAAATGTCTAGACCAGAAACAATCAGACATGAGTTACAATTTAAAGTAATAAAGTTTATGTGTAAACGTCGTCTTAAAGCATTTTACAAAGGCTTTAAGGTATAATTGGCCTTTCTTGTGAACTTGATCTGATCTTGTTAGTACATAATAATATAAGCAGTTCTTATTAACGATTTTTAACATTGCTGTCTGTTCATTCACAATAACATTAAAGCACCAGATGATGATCAAATTTGGAACATGGAAAATACGTTAAAAAGAGACTAGGCTGGGAAACTATCACAAATTGATAGAAGAATTACTGTGATTATAGCAAACTCTGATTGTATTATATAATCAGTTTTGCTAGTAAATCTAAAATTGATGATGAGAACCTGTCTGAATATGATTGTGTTTGTAGCCATTACTTAAAGATTATAGGTTCTGAATATAGTTAGCACTCTTCATTTAATGTAATAGATCTTGATTTTTGTTTTTAGAGCTTGGGTTTTTATTTTCAGGTCACCGAAGAGGAAGAAAACTGAAACCACAATTAGTGAGCTGTTTTCACAACATTCTGTGGCAGAAAGCTGCCAGAAGTTTTGAGGTTTGGGAGCAATCTATTTTCATTCTTTATCTTCTTTCTCTAATCTAACAAATAAGTGTGTTCACTGAAAAATAATAGAGCATCAAATACTTGAATAATCTCTTTGTTTAGGTACCACCTATGTATTAAATATTCATAATGTAGAATGTTAATGGGCATTGGATAAGAATTTATTTAAAGCTACTAAGATGTGGTTTATCCCCATTGGGAGCTTACAGTGAAGGGGAAATGACATATCTGATATTAAGATATAGGAAAGTAATTTATTGTAACATGATGAGCAAGAAAGAGTTATATTCCCTTTAAAAAACTGTGATTTAGAGTACAGGGGATTTGTAGGGCAATGAAAATATTTTGAATGATACTATGATGATGGGTACTTGTCATTATACATTTGTGTAAGCCCATAGGATATACATCACCAAGAGTGAACCCTAATGTAAACTATGGAATTTGGGTGATTATGATGTGTCCATGTAAGTTTATCAGTTGTAATAAATGTACCAATTTGGTAGAGGATGTTGATAATGCGGGAGGCTATGCATGTGTGGGGGCAGGAGGTATATAGCCAATCTCTGTACATTTCCTCTCAATTTTTCTGTGAATCTAAAAACTCTTGTTTTTAAAAAAAAATTTTATTAACTTACTTATTAGAGAGAGAGAGCTCACAAGCTGGAGTGGAGAGCAGATGGAGAGAGAGAGAGAGAAAATCCCAAGCAGGCTCCATGCTCTCCATGGAATCCGACACAGGGCTTAATATCATGACCCTGGGATCATGACTTGAGCCGAAACCAAGAGTCAGACACTCAACTGACTGAGCCACCCAGGTGCCCCAAACCTAAAACTGATTTTTAAATAGGTATTGGGCAATAAAAATGCCAAAAAGTAGTAATATTTTTTCTCTTTACAAAAGAATCCAGGTTTATTGTAGAAAAATTTGAAACTTCAGACAAGTTTTTTTTTGTTTTTGTTTTGGAAAGTAAAGAATACGTGTGCCTGGCTGACTCAGTGAAACATGTGACTCTTGATACTGGGATTGTGAATTCAAATCCCATGTTGAGTGTAGAGCTTACCTTAAAAAAAAAAAAAACTTAAGAATACTCAAAAACACAGGCAGTAATTTATCTGACATTGGTGGTAGCAACATTTTTCTAGATATGTCTCCTGAAGCAAGGAAAACAAAACCAAAAATAAACTATTGGGACTGCATCAAAATAAAAAGAATCTGCATAGCAAAGGAAACAGTTGACAAAACTAAAAGGCAATCTTTGGAATGGGAGAAGATACTTGTAAATGACATATCCATTAAAAGGTTAGTATCCAAAATATATATAAAGAAGTGATACAACTCAGTCTCCCCGCAAATAATCCAGCTAAAAATGGACAGAAGACATGAAGAGACATTTCTCCAAAGAAGACATCCAGATGGCCAGCAAACACATGAAAAGATGCTCAACATCACTCATCATCAGGGAAATGCAAATCAAAACTATAATGAGACACCACTTCACACCTTTCAAAATGGGTAAAGTAAAAAAGATGAGAAACCACAAGTGTTGGTGAGGATGTGGAGAAAAAGGAACCCTCTTTCACTGTTTGCGGGAATGGTACAGCTGCCCTGGAGAATGGTATGGTGGTTCCTTAAAAAGTGAATAATAGAACTACCCTACTAACCAGTAATCACACTACTGGGTATCTATCCAAAAAATATAAAAACACTAATTCAAAGAGATGAATGCACCTATTACTGTAAATAATAACAGCATTATTTACAATAACCAAATTGTGGAAGCAGCCCAAGTGTCCATTGATAGATGAATGGATAAAGAAAAAGTGGTATATATATACAATGGGATATTAATCAGCCATAAAAAAGAATGGGATCTTGCCATTTGCAATGACATGGATGGAACTAGAGAGTATTATGCTAAGTGAAATAAGTCAGGCAGGGAAAGACAAACACCATATGATTTCACTTATATGTGGAATTTAAGAGACAAAGCAAGTGAGCAAAGGGGAAAAAAAGAGAGACAAACCAAGAAACAAACTCTTAACTATAGAGAACAAAATGATTGTTATCTAAAGGGTGGTATGTGGGGGGATAGGTGTTTGTAGCCATAGGTGAAATAGGTGATGGGAATTAAGGACTGCAGTTGTCATGATCAGTACTGGGTGATGCATGGAATTGTCGAAGCACTGTATTGTACACGTGAAACTAATAGAACACTGCAAGGTAACTACACTAGAATTAAAATAGAAATAAAAACAATAAACAACCTAACTTTATACCTCAAGGAACTAGAAAAAGAATAAGCCCAAAGATAGCAGAAGGAAGGAAACAACAAAAAGCAGGAGCAGAAATGAATGAAATAGAGATTTAAAAAACAGTAGAAAATTTCAGTGAAAATGAGAGTTGGTTTTTTGAAAAGATAAATGAAATTGACAAATGTTTAGCTAGACTAACCAGGAAAAAAAGACAGCAAACTCAAATAAAATTAGAAATGAAAGGGGAAACATTACAATTGATACCACATAAATACAGAGGATTATAAGAAGCTATAGTGAACAATTATATGACAACAAATTGGATAACTTAGAAGAAATGCATAAATTTCTAGAAATATACAATGTATCTAGGTTGAATCATGAACAAATAGAAAATGTGAACAGATAATAATGACTTAAGGAGATTGAATCAGTAATCAAAAATCTCCCAATGAAGTAATGGCTACTACCAAATGGTTTCGCTGGTAAAATTCTACCAAACATTTGAAGAAGAATTAATGCCAATTTGTTCTCAAACTCACACTTATTCCAGACACTTCCAAACTAATTTTACATGGCCAACATTGACCTGACAAAGCCAGACAAGGACACTACAAGAAAAGGTAACTACAGGCCAAAATCCCTGATGAACAAAACCCTCAACACAATACAAGCAAACTGAATTCCACAGCATTTTTAAAGGATTTTACCCAATGACCAAGTAGGATTTTCCTCTGGAATGCAAGGATGGTTTAACATCTGCAAGTCAGTAAATATGATACATCACATTGAACAGAATGAAGAATAAAAATCATATGATTATCTCAATAAATGCAGAAAAAACATTTCACAGAATTCAGCATCCTTACATTATGAAAACTCAACAAATTAGGTGTAAAAGGAATGTACCTCAACATAATAAAGGCCTTACATGACAAGCCCACAGGTAACATCATACTCCATGGTGAAAAATGGAAAACTTTTCATCAAAGATCAGGAACTATACAAGGATGTTCATTCTTACCACCTCTATTCAACATAGTATTGAAGGTCCTAACCAGATCATTTAGGCAAGAAAAATAAATAAAAGGCATTCAAATTGGAAAGGAAGAAGCAAAATTGTGTTTACAGATGATGTAATATTATATATAGAAAACCTTAAAGACTCCACCAAATAAAACTGCTGAAGAAATTCAGTGAAGTTGGAGGATATGAAATCAATATACAAAAATTAGTTGCCCTTTTAGGTATAATCCATGAACTATCTGAAAAAGAAACTAAGAAAACAATCCCATTTAACATGGCATCTAAAATACTTAAAAATAAATTTAACCAAGGAGATGAAAGATCTGTACACTGAAAACTGTAAGACATTGATGAAAGAAATTGAAGACACAGATAAATGGAAAGATATCTTGTGTTTGCAGATTGGAAGAATTAATAGTGTTAAAATATTCATACTACCCAAAATATCTACAGGAAAACCTGTCATTTGTAACAACACAGATGAATCTGGAAGACATTATGCTAAGTGAAGTAAGACAGACACAGAAAGACATATACTGTGTGATCTCAGTTTATATGTGGAATCTAAGAGTCAAACTCAGGGCGCCTAGGTGGCTTAGTTGGTTGAGTGTCCACCTTCAGCTCAGGTCATTATCTTGTGATTCATGAGTTCGAGCCTGCATCAGGCACAGCACAGAGCCTGAAGCCTGCTTTGGATTCTGTGTCTCCCTCTCTCTCTGCCCCTCCCCTGCTTGTGCTCCGCCTCTCTCTCTCTCAAAAATAAACATTTTTAAAAAATTATAAATAAATAAATAAATAAATAAATAAATAAATAAATAATTCAAACTCCTAAAAACAGAATAGAATGGTAGTTATCAGGGTTTGGGAATTGGGGGAATTGGGGGTATGTTGGTCAAAAGATACAAACTTTAGTTTTTTAATGAATGAGTTACAGAGACCTAAGTTACTTCATGATGCCTATAATTATAATAATGTATTGTGTACTTGGAATTTGCTAAGAGAATAATTTTTAGGTGTTTTCACCACAAAAAAGGTAACTATTTGAGGTGGTGGATATGTTAATTAGCTTGATTGTGGTGATTATTTCACAATGTATTCATATATCAAAATGTCTTCTTTTACTCCATAAAATCAGGTACTGCAAAATAGAATGGCATTCTTGTTTTCTTTTAGAGGGCCTGTATTTCTTTACTGAGCAGATGTAAAATTACTTCAGAATTCTCTTCTATTATTCTGTATCCTTCCCCTCATTTTCCAGTCTTGCAGGATGTTTATTTTTAAACTCCCACTTCCATCCCTGGAGAAGAATATAATCTTAATTCTAAATAGTCAAAGGCAATGTTGGAGCTACACAGTATAGCTGTTTCCAGTTGAAGAGTGTTTTATTCCATTTGGGTCCTAATGGCTCTTGTTCTTTATTAAAAAATGTGAAGCTTCATGATAGAGGGTCCAAGAGACTCATCTTCCTTACCTTAGTGTGCATGAGCAATCCGAATTTTCTTAGCTTAAAAAAAAGTTATCCAGGTTATTTCTATCATTTTTCCTAATGGTGTCTTACCACTGAAAATTTCTTGGTGCCTCAAAAGTGAAAAAAAAGCAAAACAAACGTTCTACAAAAACACAGTGGCATTTTATTATAAGAGTGAAAACCTAGAAATCAATGAGATATCCAATATTAAGAAAATCATTGCGTATTAACTTAATGTAAATATTCCTTAAATTGACAACTGTTGAGACCCCATAAGAACATAGTTTAACATTTACAAAACAAAGTCAAATGGAAAGAATAGGACATGAAACTCTAACATAAGCTGTGATTGCAACTATATACAAATACAGAAGGACAAAGTTAAAATGGAATGTAGAAAAATAAAAACAGATGTATTAGCATGGTGAATTATGGATATTCTCTTTTAAAATTTTTATCACTGTCATTTTAATAACTTAAAAATTAGATTTTGAGTTTTCTAGGGTAGTTCATTACCCCTCAGACTTTTCATCCTACATGTGACGTTTCTTTTTAAAAATTTATTGAGGTAAAATTGAGAAAATTATATATAAGTGTACAATATGATTTGGTTAGGTATATGTATACATTGTGAAAGAGTTCTAACCATTGATTTAATTAACATATTTGTCACCCTTTTCTGGCGAGAACACTTAAGTCCTACTCTCTTAGCAAAACTCAGTTATACAATACAGTATTATCAGCTATAGTCACCATATTATACATTAGATCTTCAGGCTTTTTTCATCTTATAACTGAAAGTTTGTACCATTTTACCAACCTCTACCCATTTCCCCTACCCCTTCCCCTCACAACCACTATTGTACTCTCTGTTTCTATGAGTTTGACTGTTTGTTTTCAGATTCCACATATAAGTGGTCACATGAAATATTTGTCTCTTTCTGGCTTATTTCACCTAGTATACTAGTCCTCCAGGTTCATCCTTGTCTCAAATGGCAGGATTTCCCTCTTTTTTATGGCTGAATAAGATTCTATGACATACATATACCATATTTTCTTTATCCGTTCATCAGTAAATGGACACTTGGGTTTTTTATAGCTTGACTAATTGTGAATATTTAACATGGGAGTACAGGTATCTCTTTCACATAATGAAGTGGGATTGCTGGATCATATGGTAGTTCTAATTTTAATTTCTTGAGAAACCTCGATACTATTTTCCATGGTGATCCTACCATTTTACATTCCCACCAATATCATACAAGGTTTCCCTTTTCTCCACATCTTCACTAACATTTATTATCTTTTGCTTTTTGATGATAGCAGTTTTTGATGTGAGATGGATGACATCTCATTGTGGTTTTGATTTGCATTTTCTGAAAGATTAGTGATGTTGAGCACCTTTTCTTGAACCTGGTGACCATTTATATGTCTTCTTTGGAAAAATATCTATTCAGATCCTTTGCCCGTTTTTAAATTGGATTTTTTTTTACTGTTGAGTTGTAGGAGTTCTTTGTATATTTTGGATGTTAACCCTCTATTGACTATGTGGTTTGCAGATATTTTCTCCCATTCCATAGGTTGCCTTTTAGTTTTGTTGATGGTTTCTGTGAAATTTCTAATATGGGGAAAGGAGAGAATATTGATTGCCACTTTATCTGTAACTTACACTGATCCAGATGGATCATAAAATTTACTTATAGCTCAACTAGAGAGGGTGTTGTGGTTTTGTTGCCTGAAAAGGAAAATAAAACAATCTTTTGTTTTTTTTCTAGAGGTGACTTAGAAAAATTAAGGTCAAATGTGGAGATACCTCTGTAATTTTCTTATTTCTTTTTAAACTTCAGGTACAAAATTTTCTTATTTCTTTTTAAACTTCAGGTACAAAATTATGCTGAAGCCCTAAACTGGTACCATTATTCTCTGAGATTTTATGCAATCGATAAAACGGATCTGGACTTGGCCAAGCTGCAGAGGAATATGGCTTCCTGTTACCTGCATTTGAAACAACTTGATAAGGTCCTTTGATTTATCTATTTTTCAGTGGCAGAAAATGTCATGTGCAATGGCAGAGAGACACAGTTTGGTGTGACATCTTGGCTATTAGGTTAGGATGTCTGAGAGTTTCTTCATATAAGATAAACTCAAATTGATATTTTCCTGATTGGGACTTCCCAGAAGGAGAGAATTAGGAAAACCATTAATTCCATTAGTTACTGGGGGAGGGGGGGGGTTGGCACCTTTTTCTGAAAAGTAATATATCATTGGAACTTTTAAGCAAAGTTGTCTGCTACTAACCATTTGCAACTTTGTCCTTTGAAACAGACTAAATTATAAGGTATGCTTTTATTGGTCAAACATTCAGTGTGGGAAAATACTTGTATAAAATGGTCTTTTACTGACTGGGTAACCTGTTGCCTATACAACCACTCTAGAAAATGTTTAGCATTTGATTGCTTATCAGGACAAAATTCTAGGAGGTGAATGAGAAAACAACTTATTTAAGGATAAACCATTCATATTTCCCAAAGCAATTGGGACATTTCTTCCTTTGGGTATCATGTAGTATGGACATATTGGGGAAGGGTATTGGCTTGTGGAAGAACAGGTGAAAAGGACAAGTGTGGACCCAGATAAAATATGAAGGCCTTTGTTGCTTTTCAGGTTTTAATGATAAGTTTAGGGGGGAATATGTGATTAAGGGTTGTAATTCCAGACATTTTCTTTGAGTTTTTGTTTACTTTGAGGGGTTGTTTATTAGACTAAATACTTCAAATTTTCTTTCAAAAGGATATTTACCATTTAGTTTATATATTCAAAATTCATAGTTCTAGAAGAGAAGTTGAAATGTTACTTAGTTCATGATATTTCAGCACAGGCTAGCACTTAAGTGTTTCAGAAAGACAGTTGACTACTGTTTACTGAAAGTCCTGAAAAAGTTATCACACAGATTTTGTTACCTAATTCATTATATTTCTGCATAGGATACTATTAACTATTTCAGACCGATAGTTGCTTACTGCTTACTTGAAGACTTAAAGAAGGTGATAAGAAAGTTACTGTAACTTCCATGATTTATGTTGGCCTGGCAGATTGCGAAGGACCTGCACCTGGAGCCAGACATGCCATTTGTGGGGGATGGTTACATTTTCACACCAAGGAAGGATATCTGTTCAGCTAATACCAATGGAAAGGGCACAGCACAAGATACTATGATAGTCTCTGAGGTTACAGACGTGAACAAGATGTAGTTGTCTTTGATTCAACCAAGCAGTTGGCATCAGGGTATCTTAATAGGCAGATAAACAGATCATGGCAAGGAAGAAAATCTAAGTGTTGGAAATATTCTATAAGTTAGGCATGCAAATAGTTGGTATCATATATCAGCAGGGAACAGGTCTTCAGCCATAGAGATTTGGATTCAAAGGCAGAACTCAAATCTTTATGTAGACAGACTAGAAAGAGCAAGGTAGAGTTCCAAACCTAAAGGGATGAGAATACAAGGCTGTTTTAAAGGTCAGGAATAGCAGGCCAGGCTGGGATGCAGTTCCTAGGAGAATATGAAGTGAGTAGACACAATCTTTTAAGACTTGAAGCAGTGCTTCATTTTTTTTTTTTTAAATAATCTATACACAATGTAGGGCTCGAACTCAAGACACTGAGATCAAGAGCCACATGTTCCACCAATTGAGCCAGCCAGGCACCTCGAAGCAGTGCTTCTTAAGTCTCCTCCAACAAATATGAAGTTTGATCCTAGAGCCTAATGTAGGACTTAGTCTATAATTTGGAGTTCAAATGGTATTGGTAGAAGGGGAAGAAGAAGAGAGCAGGAAATCAGGCCCATCCCAATAGTGTATGTTCAGTATGCGATTATATCACTTAAGGCCAGATTGGTGGTGAAGCCAAAGGTTATTTTCAGTATGATCAATGTAATCTTGTTTGATTACTGTTAGTGTATTTTTCTCTTTCATCCTTCCTGTCTTGAACTTAAACATTGATTTGGTACCCTTCATATGTAAGGAATACTCTCCTATGCACTAAGAAAGGTGAAAAGAAGTAACACAGTCCATTATATTTTACTATTTTACTGTTCCCACCTTGTTACTTTTCATCGTCTGCTTTTTGTTTTTCACTCCTTCCCTTGAGCTGTTTGAATGCTATTCAGGAAATTTATGAAACCATGTTTATTGGATCTGCTAAAATTTCATAGTTTTTCAGCTAGGCACTCTGTAAAACGGACTCTTGTTAACTTTCTGTCATATTCCTCACAATGGTGATTCCAGGATTTTTTTGTCTTTAAGCCCCCATACCTTACCCTTCCCTTTATCAAACAACTTTATCTTAAAAAAAAAAAAAAACTTTTATCTTGTGGCGTGCCTGGGTGGCTCAGTCAGTCGAGCGTCCAGCTTTGGCTCAGGTCATGATCTCATGGTGTGTGAGTTCGAGCCCCGTGTCGGGCTCTGTGCTGACAGCTCAGAGCCTGGAGCCTGTTTTGATTCTGTGTCTCCCTCTCTCTCTGCTCCTCCCCTGCTCGTGCTCTGTCTCTCTCTGTCTCAAAAATAAATAAATAAACATTAAAAAATAAAAAAAAAACTTTATCTTGTAAGTGTCTGAACTTGGAGCCACTAACATGAACTTCATCAACTTCTCCTTTCTTTACTCATCTCTTTACTCTTTCTTCCTTATCTCTTAGAAAGAACGTTCTCTGGAAACCTTCTCTACCAATCTCACTTTAGCTCTTTAATATTTTTCTCTCAACTATTTCTTTCCTTGTCACTACAGTTATTTTGAGGTCTTTTTTATTCAGAAACCTTTCTTCATTCTTGTCATCCTACTCAAATTACAGTTCTCTCTTTGTCCTTCCTTTTTTCAATTACAGTTCTCTCTTTGTCCTTCCTTTTTTCACCAATATTTTTAACCTAAAATTAATGCTGACATTTTTTTAGTGTCCATTTATTAAAAAATGTTTATTGACTATTATACATTAAGTACTGTCCTAGGCATTGGAATATAGTAATGAACAAAGTAGACATAAACACCTATACCCATGGAGTTTATTGTTCTACTAGGAGAGACAGACAATAAAAAGATGAATATTATGGTATATTACAGAGGTCAACAAATTTTCTGTAAAGAACCAGTTAGTAAATATTTTAGGTTTTCTAGGCCATACAGCCTTTGTTGTAAATACTCAACTCTGATTTTGTACCATGAAAGCAATTGTAGACCATATGTAAACAATTTGGCATGGTTGTGTTGTAATAAAACTTGCTTAGGAACACTGAAATTTGAATTTCATATAATTTTCATGTGTAATAAAATATTATTCTTCTTTGGAATTTTTTTCAACCTTTCAAAAATGTATAACCCTTCTTAGTTTGTGGACTGTACAAAAATAGATGGTGGGCTAGAAGTGGCCCAAATGCCATCGTTTTCTGACCCTGTTATATTAAATAGTGGTAAGTGCTAAGGAGAAAACTAAGCAGGAAAGGGTGGCATTAAATATTTTAGAAGAGGAATGAAAGGTTGAAATTTTAGATAACAGTGGCCAAGGAAGGCCTCAGGGAGAAGGTGGCTTTTGAATAGAGACCTGAGGAAGTGAGGGATCTGGCTATGTGGATATCTGAAAAAACAGCAGTCCAAATAGTGGGAATTCAAAGTGCAAAGGTTGTGGGGATAGGAGCATACCTGGGGTATTTGAGGGATAGCAAAAGGACTGATGTGGCTGCAACAGAAGTAATATTAGGAAAAGCGGGAGCTGTGATCAGGGAAGTAGTGGGGAAACAGATCCCATAAGAAAGACATTGTAGTTCATTGTAACGATTTATGTCATTAACTCTGAGTGAGATGGAAAGCTATTGAGGGGCCTTGGGCAGAGGAATCACATGATATGACTTGCATTTTAATAAGATCACTCTTACCACTGTGTTGGATAGACTAGGGTGGGTGCAAGGGTGGAAGCAAGGAGACCAGTTTGGAGGCCATTGAAATAACAAGGCAAGAGATGAGGTGGCATGGACCAGTGCAGAAGAATTGTGGATCAGGATCAGATTCTGGATAGATTATAAAAGTAAAGATGATAGAATTCCCTGACATACTAGACAGGGTAGAAGAGAAAGAATAGACAAGGCTGACTCTAAGGTTTTTGGCCTCACCACCTACTCCCCACTTGATTTTTACATCTATGATTCTATAAACTGCTCTTTTGAAGACTAGTGACCTTTTAATGATCAAGTCTAATCTTTTCTCAGTCCTTCTTGTCTTCTAATCTCTCTAGAACAAAACCGTATAATACTGTCAACCACTTCATCCTTCTAGAAACCTTCTCTTTGGCTTCTATGACATCTTCTCTTAATCCTATTTATTATTCTGACAGTTCTTTCTCTATTTCTGTTACTGTCTCTTTTCACCAAATAAATATTGGATGAGGGCAAGTACTATGTTTATCCTGTTCACTATTTTATCCCTAACACCCACAACCATTCTTTCAATAAACATTTGTTGAATGAATTTATTCTCTGATCTCTTTTTTTTCTTCTGTACACTCTACCCTCAGTAATCCGTTTTAGTTCAACTCTTCATTCCCAAATCTGTATGTCTAGCCCTGATCTCTCTCATAGCCCACATTCACTTTTATACTATCTTTGGGTATATCCAGCTCTTGTCTAAGACTGAAATTTTAGATTCATGGATTCCTTCTTTTCTATTCATCATGTGCCATGTCTGATCAGTTCTACCTCTGCAATATTTTTGCCAGCTGACTCCTCTTCCATCTTTACCTCACTACTCTAATCCAAGCTTTCATCACCTCTATGACTATTAGAATAATATTTTAACAGTTACAGGGAGCCACTCGAGTCTTCAGTGGCTCCTTGTAAATAAAGACCAAATTCCTTAGTTCTAATGTCCTCCAGAATCCATAAATAACGACTCTGTTTTATTTCCATTACATGTATACTATGTTTAGCCTGAATTGAATTATTTGTAGCTTCCTAACCATACTCTATGCTTTTCTACCTCTGTACCCTTTTCCATGCTTCTCC